AGACAATTAAAAAACAAATTAAAAGATCCGAAATATTTATGATGATCATTTAAGCAGATCAACATTATTGCTAGGTATTTCTGCATTACAAAACGGTTGTCGAGTTACACAGCATAAGCGAAAGCGTTACACACTGAAATCCCCCTGCGAAAATTCTTGCCGCCATAAAAATTACTGCCCGGACATTGCTGTCATAACACTTTCCTACGAAAATCGAAATGGTTTCATAAATTTCGTTGATTTATATATGTCGTAAATCCAGGTGGTGATGGTGAATTTGCCATTACCGTTCCAATTAGGAATAAAGGTTTTTATAAAAAGCGCCTTGAAAGCATCATGGTTGCTAACAGCTGTACTTGTCATAACCCACTCAATAATGACGGTCGCATAGAGCTTTTCTGAAACAGTGTTAAGAATATAAAAAGTATTGTGGCTAATAACTTCTATCAAGTGACTGAAGCGATTGTTGTGTTCTTATAGACGTGTTAGGCTCAACTCACAATGCCGCAGAGTCAAAGCGTCGCGGCGCGTCATGTTTTTCGCCTATAGCATATTCATCATTCATTATTAAGGTACAAATATGCGTTATACAAATACGGAATCGCGCGACGACGCGCGCCTTCGCCTTTTTGTAGGTGAAAAACAGGACGCGACGCGACGCTTCGACTCTGCGCCAGTGTCAGTTGAGACCTAGGGCGCTCCCGCACCGGGAGCATTCGCTTGTACCATAACTCCAAATTCGAGCAATACATCGGTGAGGGAGAAGAACCGAGCATTATACAATGCGCAACCAGTAATGATACAATTGATATGTTATGGAAGCTTTTAATTGGCATCTGATTAATCATATTTAAAACCATGTTGCAAAAGTAGGTAAATAAAATCTGTTGTAGACAAATTCGTCCGTTTGTATATGCCTCGACTGCTCGTTCTTTTGTATTCAATCAGAAAATAAAGAATAAGAGAACGGACACTCTCCGCCCCTCCTTAGTTTTAGATATCGCACCACGCCCCGCACATTGCCGGTCACATTGACTGAACGACAACAAGGCTGCCGGCGAGCCGTTTTCGCACGAAGACGGCTTTGATATTTGAATATAGTTTTCATTCATTCATTACGAAACTTGTACGTTAATATAAAACATCATTTTACTTTACTATTTATAATGGTCGTGAGTTGTGCTGTGTACGGCTATTCGTCATCATTTTCCGAAAGATGAATTGGTTACCTTACTTGAAAGTACATGTCCGAAATATAACATTTTATGTGATTTTATATATTTTTGAAATAAATCTTCAATACCACTCTAGTTTTTTTTATAACGCACACACTCAACATATCCCCGCACTAGGGAAACCCTGTGTCGTGGGTGCCATGGACACACACATAGACAACCACAAATTACATCCAAACTCACGAGAGAAATAATTGTAGGCCATACAACTATTTCTCCCGGCCCGGGAATCGAACCTGGGACCTCTGCGTGGCAGTCCGGCATGGTAACCGTTAGGCCACGGAGGCAGTTCAAAATATCGAAATATCCTTAAATTCGCCACTACACAGGACTTGACATTGGAGATAATAAAAATCGGTTCTCACTACTCAAAGAATATCGAGAGAAAAACGCCTTGAATTGGAGAAACAGCAAAATCAACCATTAAAATAATTGCTCCTTAAGAAAATTTAGGCGCTATTTATAAAACTGAATCTTCATGCGTGAACAGCCACCCTTAGAGGTGGATGATTTCCTTCAAAATGAAATGGGACCACTATGGAAGTACCCCCTTTCCAACAAAAAAAGAATCACGAAAATCGGTTCACAAATACCGGAGTTATCGCGTAACATACATACAAAAAAAAGCATACAGTCGAATTGAGAACCTCCTCCTTTTTTTGAAGTCGGTTAACAAGGAATGTTGCTGAAACATTAATTCAAGAAAGATATTATATTTTGATCTACTTCAATTAGTTTGCAAACAAATCGCAGTGTGTCTCTTCTAACTGTCGAAATTGGTATTGGGCACATTTTTCAGATAACGTATCTCACGTTGTATCTCGTGTCAATCTCGTTATATCAATGAGGTTATTTATATTCATATACAGTTAAGTTGGATGACTTTGAACACTTTTCTCAGGTTTTTACGGATTTCATTCATTCATTTCCAGCCATGTATTACCCACTTCTATGTAAAGGCCTCCTTTCGCAAACTTTCCGCTCTTGTGCATCGCAGGTTTTTACGGATATAAAATAAAAAATGTATTGGTCAAAATAGGTTTTATTGATTTATGAGTGCCCTTATTTAGAATAATTTAACTAAAATGACGAATTAGAAGAAAAAAAAGTGTTTGCGAAAATGCGCGTAAGGGGCCGTTCAAAGATACACAAAAGTTAGAGTAACTTTGAACCCATAAGCATAATTATCTCAAAAAGTTTTTTTTTCTAATTTTGATTTGGGTAAGATTATACTCGTATTTTGAATGAAAAAAATCATAGCTTTGTCAAATAAACTTGTCATAGCGAACAATTTACAATTTTTTCACTTTTGCCATTTACCAAAATTAGCAGCAACCAGCGGATACAAAAAGTAACTGAAACACACACACAATTTTCACTCGTTGAACACCGTGAACGGAAAATAGAGCGAACTTTCAAAACTTTTCGATAACTGTCAATGTTTATGTCATATTTCACATCCGGGATATTTTATTCTTCCGTTTCACGCAGTTATCAATGTATTTGACTGCAAGTTTTTTGGGGAAAGAAAAAGAATCTTGAGCCACCTTTATTCAAATTTACCCAACTTGATTATATATAAAAGGTTAACTTATGACGATTAGTGGTGAGGTGAATTCGTTCGGTTTTGAAAGCTGAGCAACGTCGTACGCCTTACTCAGTCTTAACTGAGTAAAGCATACGATCACTTAAATCCAAGTAAAGCGTACAATTTTACTCTACGGCTATACGTGACATTTATGTCTTTACAAATATGTAAGATATAAACGTTATAGTCTTCACTAACGTTTGTATCTGACCATTTTCTGACATACATCGTATACATCATATACAAAGTCAATATTGTCTCTTCTTAAAGAGACGATAATCATGTATAACATGTACATGACATTATTTGTCACAATATATTCCTAAACACGTTACTCTTGAAATTGTTCGCTAAAGTTTCAATCTTAGGCCAATCACGCGTTAACAGTTTGAAAATAGGCCAACACAAAGAGCAGACGTTTTGAGGTAAACATGCCTGCTATATTGACTTTCTGAACATTCACTCATTTCCTATTACAAGCGAGGCGAGTCGTAAACTTTAGCACCAACGCCAACATTGTCTGAGCAATTCGTTTTAAAGCAAGGCCGTTTTATGTTAAAGATGTCATTGTTGCTATATGAATGCATTATGACGTCAGATTCTTTGTGTTTAGAGGTTTATGTCGGAATTTTCATAGATTTACTGCGGATGTCCTTTGACGTGCTTACCAGAATATTTTCCTTAAAGATGAAACCGAATAAAAGATAAATATTCCTTTCATTGTGAACCAATATTCTAGTATCCGTGTCAGAGCGTTATACGCTTTTGTGTAGAAAATTGTCCATTCAGTGACCGGCTGCAACCAATTTGCTCCTCATCCGCGGCTCACTATTGGATTACTTGGTCCACTTGAGCCTTAGACTGTGGTACAAATGAGAATTATTCAGAAACCTTTACACCGGTTCCTGGTTTTTATCTTTCTAAGACCTAGCAAACTACTATGGGAAAAGCGCTAAACGCTCAATAATTAAAATGTGCTAAATATAATTACATGCTTCAGGCCCAAGTCAGTATGCCTTCAGTTTGGTTTGAAAAACGGAACTGGCATTTTATAAAATGTTTTTTCATCAAATTTCAATGCTATATTTTCATTATAAATAAATAATATTGTCCAGGTCTGAATTCTTCGCATGTTATGTACATTTTGATGTAGTTTAAGTGTTTTGTGAATATTTATTTAAATATGATGTTATTGCGTTGATGCCCGAAGTCTTCACACTTCTTTTGTTTAGTTCGTTCGATAATAACAATGGCGTAGGTAAAAAGTAATACTGTAGTGTGGTGTTAATTTGGTTTTATTCAAGTATGTCTCATAACATCATAACTACTCAAACTCGAACTGTTTATTTGAGAATAAGTATCATTATGTAGGATTTTTTTAAATACCCAAAGACTTAGTCTTTTTAGATGTATCTTAAGAGTGTGTGAGTTGAGTCGCATGCGAAGTTCGCTCATCATCATCATCTGTATTGTCATTGACTATCATTTCTTCAAAGTAATTAATGACATTGATATCCAGAGCGAAGTTCACACTAATCTTGGTGAGATTGAGTCTCTTCGTGTTGATGACGCTTTTTATTTGATATTTTCTAAATAAATATCCGCTACGTTCAATGCCTTACACCAGATTTTAAAACGCTATCATCGTCATTCAAATTCGCTATTAATCAATTGTTGGCACTTATTTCGCTTGGGATGACAACGAGATCTAAATTTAGCATTTAATCGTGGCTTTGTTAGGCTTTTCTTGAAAAGGATGACTTCATTTTGTACACAATTGTTCCTATAACAGATCTACAAAAACACAAAACTAAATTGGTGCACGTGTTCTATGTCAATGAACATGTTACCCGCTAATTAACTCTTAAAAAAATCTTATTTGCAATTGATAACAATTGTCATAATGCTGTCGCCTTGTTCTCTTTGATGAAATAGCAGAATTTGTCTTCAAGTGCTTCAAAGTATTTATTGAGCGTATATTTTATATGTTATACCGTGTTCAAATTTAAGCTCTTACTACAAAGTTATTGATCGTGATATTCGAAATGTTTTTAATTTTGGAATACTAAGCTGCCAATCGGCACATTATTTTCTTATTTTAACCTTCATTCCACTATATTTGCAAGAGGCTCCAAATATACCTGAATCGCATTGTAAGTATATTTCTTTTATTGCAGCCCACTCCTCCCAAGAAACCCCCTCGGAGGAATCTGTCGGTGTCTCCCACACACGCCAACTCCCCGTCGTCGGGGTACAGCTATGAGCTAAGGCCCCACGCGCGGAGTCAAGACGATTTGGATGAAATTCAGGTAATATTTTTTAAGATGCAGCAGTTTAATGTGGATACATATTGTCGCTTATTTTTCGCAACTTTTTGATTTGATTTATTTTGTCAGTTGTGGCTTTCTAACCATGTGTTTAATCCTATAAAATTTTGGAGAAAACTCATATTTCGTCAGTAGAAATTTAAAAAAAAGTTTCCTTGTTCCAGGGTGCTAAACACTACCTCAAACACGGTCGTTCAGTCGACCAATACGTTGACGGTAAATTGTCCTATTCAGAATACGAGGAAAACCACAACTCCCCTAGAATAGCCCCTGTACCAAACCCAAGGCCAAGTTTGAAAAACAGGCCACAACCCGTTGCAATCACTGCCATGTATGAAAATGTTGTTATAAAAGAGCAGAATCCTAGAAGGAAATTGCGGAGAAACAACTTTGAGAATTTTGAACCAAGAATGGATAATCGGGTGCGAAAATATTCTACCCAAGACAAGTCTTCCCTTGAAAGTCTTCTTGACAGTCAGTCTATGAACAGTCCCAGTGATTGCGAAAGATACGACGGGCAGAGGATATTTCCTTTATCACCTACACATTACGATCAACCACCTACACCTGATCACCCACCTCCTTCGGCGAAGCAAGCTGAGAACAGCATTCACGAGAAGATTCGCCCTTTAAGCCAGGTCAGTAAACCTGATTGAAAGACTTCTTTTTATACTGGTCTTGCCATTTTAAATTGCACTGAGATTTGAAGTTAATGCACTTTAAAATAGATTCTGTTTTTGCACTTTTGATTTGTTACAGCTTCAATTTTGCATTTCAGTAGTTTATTGTTTTTTTGAAAATATGTACAATTATATGAAATACAATAGTGGTTAGGGAATTTATTTATAATTAGTTTATGGTGTAATATAGCAATACTAACGATGGACTGGAATGTTTTCTGTAGCATGTTATCAATTAAAATATAGTATAATCGTAATGGTATCCAATATAGTAATAAATGATAACACATGACTAATTATCCTTCAACTCCATTTAAAAATTTGACATTTACTAGCATGCTTTGTACAAACTTAAATTTCACAACCTGTTTAATTCTGTTGGTAAAATTTTGTAAATCGATTTTGGTACCATTTGTTCCGGTGATCGATAGAGCTGAAAATTTGCATTCAAGAGTAAACTCCAATGGGCATGCAATTATATTGTGACATTGTTTTTTTAATATAGATATTATTTTATTAATGATAATAACTATTTAAATATTCCATTATAAATCACAAGTAACACTTCATTTTTACTTAGTTTTTCATTTCGGGAAAACAAACTCTATTGTTATTATTGATACAAAGATCAAACAAACACAAAGAAAAATTCCTTGGATCCGGCTGAAGTCGAACCAGCTACTTTTTCGCCACACCGGGGTTATCGAATTCCCAACTGAGCTACGGAATGAGTTAGCAGAATTTCACTGTGTGCTTGTTGCAGATCTTTGTTGGAACGCTCTTTTACTGTCTCTCATTGAATAGTTTTATATATTCGTTTGCTTACTTATAAAGAGTCAAACAGAACTTTGATTGGTATAATTTAAAATTTAACGCCTGAATAAATAAGGGCGCCTTCAAATTAGATGCTTATGGAAGCGCTGCAGTGGCACGACTGTGACGCGGCAACCACGCGTTCGTTTTACTTCACTATTAATTGGATGCTGATAAGCAATGACGTGTCAACCGACATGGTCATACGTCGTTTTGATAGTTTGTTCTAAAATGTACTTATAAAATGAAAACTTTTGCTAATGTGCTTGTTATTGTTGGGGAAATATAGTAATACATCACATCAATTCATCATACCTGGTGTGACAACTGTAAAAGTTTTCATTTTACAAGTAATTATTAGAACAAAGTATCAAAAACAAGGAAAAAATCTTTAGGTGCCATTTTCGCAAAACTATGATCATGTTGGTTGACACGTTATTGCTTATTAGCATACTATTGTGACTGCCTGAGACAGGCGCTTCTATAAGCGTCTAATTTACAGGCACCCTAAGATAGACTTTTCAGAAATTATTGACATTTCTATTCCGTAGTAATGGACACTTTTGTTTAATTATTGGAAATAAGAATTTAAAACAATAATGCCGTTCATAGGGTTAACCCTGATGAGGTTAACCTCATTCTTGTTTCGTAATCGTTCACATGGTTTCTAACGCCCTTTGACTGACAGTCGTAAACTGAAGCCGTAATCATATTATTACAGTACTATTTAACAGTCCAAGCTTTTGATTGAATTTTACTCAACTTGATTCCCTATTTTAGTGTAGTGTATTTCTTGACATTGTATTTTGTCGCTCAGCGGTTCGTTAGTTCAATTAAATGTTTACCTTAACTAGTTATATAAGTATCCAGTTCTTAGGTTTTCGCGATTGTTACACATAGGAAATGGTCACGGTCGACTTAACCTTGACCATGGACCCGTAAAGGGCCCGAAACGTGAGTTTCTTTGAAAAAAACAAATATACGCGATTTAAATCCGGAAAAATAGTATCATTTTCTATAGTTATATTCGCATGTATTCATTGGACAGAATGTCAATTACAATTATGTTTGATTTATCAGATGTTTTTCATCGAGAAAACATGTTGGTACACGTCGATATCAGGACATTGTTACCTAAATAATGTATTAAAATATTACCTTATTTGTTTAAATATAAAGTTAATATTTGAAGTGACGTTTTACCAGATTGCACAGTTTTCTTTTACTCAATAATATTTATATTCACTAGTTTTCTTAAAACTTTGGATGATATCAAAGCTTGGACTTTAGAAAATAGTAAGTACTCTGCTAGTTGACCATTAATAACGTGATCTATCACAATCACAAGTCGTAATAACAATTACCTGTTTCATTATGTACAGTTAAGAACACATCAGGCTCAACACTTTGGACCGTTCTTATTGTAAGCGATATAGATTTGAATTTAAATCTTCAAGCTTGACGTGCTTGTGATGCTGTATGCGACTGAATCATAACATTATCACTTCATACCTTAAGAGTCTATACTACCTCAAGTGGCTTTGCTTGATTCCGCATAACAGTGAAAGTGTCGAATTAAGCACTTTGGAAAAAATATATAGAAAAATTGAAGATATACACTCGTAATGACTGTAATATATACGGTGTGAAAACACGATTCCTAAAAATTTGGAAGATAGAAAAAAAAACAAATTTACCTTGAAACTTTACAAGAAAGCCGTCGTATTCAATAGGTACTTTACCTATAGCTATGATTTTTTTGATATCAATTGAACTAAATAAAACACGTATAATATACGATATACATTTTTCCAATGGTTTTAATTTTTCAATTTGTAAAAAAACATATTCTGAAATAAAGCCAGTGTGTCTCCCGCTCGACCTAAGCAAAATATAGCGTATTAGGACGGGAAAAATTGTAATTCGAGCTGAGGTAGTATCGACCGATAACGATTACGAGCAAGCAGTTGAGATTGAAAGCTGAGTTTTTTATTTGAATAAACGATTTAGATCCGGGAAAAAAAAATCATTTTTTATATGAATTCCACTGTAAGCACTCGATATGTAGTTACTTATTTTATTAGTGCATGGGCATGCCATCTTGATTTTAAATAAACAAGTATGCTACATTTTTTATGTTTCAAATTATTTCAGCTTATAATGGAGGTTGTTGAAGAAATAAGAATTAGAAAAAAATCGCAGGGTGATGTAGCCAATACCTGATAGTGCAGATTTAAAAAAAACTTTCGTTTAATTATTTAATAAGTTTCAACATTTTTTTTATTTTTAACACTAGTCGTAACATTTGTGCTTATGGTGCTTATAAAAAAGTTATATTTTTCTTTGTTCAAGAATATAATTTGTGTTATTTTGTACATAACTTTATATGATTTTAACCTTTATTTTTTAAGTTAACAAGTATTCGTAAAGTGCTATTTAACTCGTTTTAAAACAACAAGTTTATTTATTTGACAGTAACTTTTAATCATATTATTCAAAATAACTTTGGTTCAATATATTTCAAAAATAAAGCTCTGGTTTTGTTGAGACCAATAGAGGAAATTGTACTTCTTAAGGGACTGCTTATATTTTTCTTATAAGTATAAGTTAAAAAAATTCTGTGGACCTAATTCTCAATCTATCGGCTATCATAGTCATGTATTTATTATATATCATGATGAACCAATTTGTGAATGATGTATCAATATTCTGCAGACGGCTCCCCACGGTCTGTGATTTTACCCATGATCTCACACGAGCTCGCACCGAGAGACTCGTCCGTGGTTATGCAGACGAGTCCGTACCGGTGCATGGGTCAAGAGGCAACGAAAAAGGGGCGGGGCCGGTGTGTAGCTTTCGGTGGTCGCCCGCCAAGCCAAGAAATCTGTGAAATCACAAATCGTACGAAGCCGCCTTTAAAACGTTTTAAATAATACGAAACAAATGTCGTGGCGTATTTTATCGAAGTTATTTTGACTGACTTCTTGCAGTTACCTACATGACAGTATCCTAGAAAAAAAAATAAAAATAATAAAATATTAACTATTACCTCAGTTAATCAAATGCGTTATAGGTACTTGGTTATACTCCGTCCAACCATTTATTTAACTTTTGACTGCTCGAATCCTAATTAATTAGTGATGTCCTAATGCGTTTCCGATTCATTTTTTTTATAACAATCGATTTTATTTATGAAAAATTTTAAGTCGTGGATGTGAGCGGGATCAAAAAAGAAGATATTGTCTGATTGGGATCGTGGTGTTGCGTTTGACAATTTGTGTACTCAAGAATTAATAATTAATGTTAATGAGGATTCAAGTGATGATTCTCGTTCATATGGAGAATAATTAGACGATTCATTAGAATAAACAATAATAATGTATAGAAAATGAAACTATTTTGACGGATTTAAATCGCGTATATTTGTTTTTTCAAGCAAGCCAACGTTTTGGGCCCTTTACAGGTTCCATGGTCAACCATGACCTGACCTGACCATGGGACCTGTTTAGGGCCCAAAGCGTTGGTTTGTTTGAAAAAAAAAAACAAATATACGCGATTTAAATACGGAAAAATAGTTTCATTTCCTATGTGTAACAATCGCGAAAACCTAAAAATTCGATAAAAATAATTTATTATAATTATTTATAATTTATTTGAGTTCTTTTTTTTAGTCTAGTTTGAAGAGGCCTGAAACGTTCGGGCGTTTAGGTCGGTCTAATTTATTTAATTTCATTATAATTTATTAGACAGCTACCAAAATTTATCAACTTGAATAATCTTCGTTACATAACAGGTTATTCTGGCTCAATAAATATCGGAGCTAAAGAGCACATCATTTCACTAAAATTAAAAAATAAACGAGTCCAGGAAGTATTGCATTTTTTTGTTTATGGTTGTATGTCAATAATTACGGAACTTCGGAGGTATGCATATGTCAAAAGTTAAGTAAATGGTTGGACGGAGTATAATATGTAACAAATTTATATTAGTTAACTTATTTGCCAACATGATAAATTGGTCACAGTTAGTTTTAAAAATAAGATAAAATGAACTTAGATGATTTTATGAGACAATAAAAGTAGACTGACAAATGAATTCCTAGAAACTACTAAAAATAAAAAAAATAATTTCACATAAGTATTTTA